TCGGTTCTTTTATTTATCTTGGCATTTGATTGGTTGATGGAAAGTATCCAGATTTTTCTCAAATTGGACATTTTGTTCAAAGCTGAACTAAACGTTCGAGCAAAAACTATCCAATTTATTTTAAATTGGAACAGTTGGCAAAAATTAACAAAAAATAGATTTGTTGGCAATATTGGATTTTGATGCAGCTATATAATTAAGAGAATAAAACGCTGAACAGAGAATTAGCACTTGTAATTAAGCGAAATTTAAAGGCTTATTAATATCAAAGTAGGTAAGTAAGTCAGATCTAACTACTTTTAACTTTTCAAGCAACTGACAGGAAGTCTTGAGAAGAAGAAACAAACATAAAGAATTCCTAAGAAAAATAATTTTAGAATTAGTTGCGTTATTTGTTTCTGCGTTACCGCCGTGTAGAGTAGTTACGCATCGAAATCCGTTTTGCGCTGGCGACACCGTGCATGACTTTATGTCTGCTCTCTGTTATGCGTTTAAAAAAAATGAGTCAACTTTTCACAAGGAAGCAAGCCATTGATACAAATGTACACTTGTTCTATTTTATTTTAAAGCCGTAAAAGCTTTCAAAATTTACCCCCGTCGAGGCCTGTAAAGTAACAAAGTGAAAAATCCATTTAAATTCACGCCCGTTAAAGCGCGTAAAATAAAGCGATAGTCGAAATCTCGCTTAGGTTTTATGGCGAAAGAATGACAAATAAAGCGGCTGGGAAACGGTTCAATCGGGATTTTAACACGTAGGGGCCAAACCACCCCCCAAAATGTTTCGTCAGTTCTGGGGTATTTCACATTACCTCGCATTACTTAAAAAGTATTGTCTCTTTCTACACCAAACTTGGCAGATGAGCAGGAGACCTATTGCCAATTATATTTACGTCAAAAATGTCGGTAAATGTCAAAGTTGTGACGTCACAGTGATGACGTCATGTTTTTTGCTACTTTTGAAGTTTTTAATATGCATTTTTTTTACAATGTGTTCGAAAGAGCACACCAAGGGGAGTTGAAACCTGAAAAAATTTTGTCCATATCACA